TGATAAGAGTCAGACACGGAGTCCTACATTTCTGGAAAACCGGTATTTAGTTCGTTGTGTGGATGTGCGACCGGAGGGCGCAAATCGCAATTCGCACCAAAGACGGCAGACATGAATCCAACAGCAATGGAGGGCTATGATTGGGTCTACCTAATGGACCAGGTCCGCCAGATTCGCGAAAACACAGTCACAGCCCGCTCCCGAACGACCTACCAGAACTCCTACTGCCATTTTCTCGCTTGGTTGCTGGAGAACAAAACACACCGTATTGCACCGCCGTTTACCGAATGTATTGAGGGCATTGGGACCTATACACCCCAGCAGCTACGGACGCGAGTTAAGGAAGCAATCAACCAGGACCTACGCGTCGACCCCCCTCATCTTTGATACTCTGGCCGCGGAGGACTTTGTGATCTGGCTCGTCACGCTGAAACGAAAGGATGACGATGCGCTGAGTTACTCTGCTCTCAACACGCACAGAGCAGACCTGTGTGACCTGTTTCGGGACTACGGCAAGACCATGAGCAAACGTTGGAGTCGGAGCTTACCACCTATTTCAAAGGCCTAAAGCACACGTTCGCTACAGACGCGTCAAATGAAGCTAGCGAGATCAAGACTGACAAAGACCCGCTGATGTTCGATTTGTACAGCTTTTTATGCGGTAAAATGCTTGCGCTCCCTGGCAAGTAGATGTGCTTTTCTCATACTTACATAGTAATAGCGTGGAATCTTATGTGTCGATCCTCCAACGCTTTTGGAATCCGACACTTTCACATGGTATAGAGAAACGATGCTCTCCAAATATATTTCGCCCATATGAAGAACGACCAAGGAGGCAATCGGCGGTGAGACCCACGGCATATTTATGACAATTTTCTGCAGCCTTCTATTTGTCCAATTGTTGCCCTGAATCTTTATCGGGCGTCCACTATATTTGAAGAGAGTGACCTCTCATTCCCCGGCAGCAATCAATACGAGCGCTTTCGAAAGTGCTGGAAGCGATTACTATCTGAAAAAAAAACGTTGCAGGTGAGCTAAAACGGCAAGGTCTGGATCCTAGTGAATTGGGTACACACTCTATCCGGAAAGGTTCCACTACGTTTTGCTCTTCAGGCTTGACGGCATGTCCGTCATCGACAGCCATTCATTTGAGAGCTGGCTGGTCACTCGGAGGTGTCCAAAATACCTATTTACACTACGAAGCTGCTGGAGATATGCATGTCGGTCGGACAGTGGCCGGATTGCCGACGGAAAGCTACAAATTTTCGACACTACCGCCTCGCGATAGAGATAGCGACGAAATTGTCCAGCGAGGAGTTCCTCTGATGTTCCCGGGCCTACCCGAAAGATTGGAGTTTATTGCGGAGTACTGTTTGGCCTCGCTGACCTATCACCATTCATACTTGACAAGAGCTTTATCACCTAAACACCCAGCATTTCAGCCTCCTCTATTTCAAGATGCACCGTTGCTATCTTCTCTTACCAAGCGGCTTCAGACAGGAGATGGAAGCTCTGATGCATGAATCCGTCCAACTGCTGTACCACCACACGTGTCGATTTTGTGTGAAATGAAGTGGTTAAAAGAAGGCCTGCTGGAAACTCTTTCCAAAATTGAAGAAACATGAATGGATACAGTGAAAGACATTATCACTGAGCTGGAAAAGAGGGTAATTGGAGCAGGCACGGTCACTTTCGATGGTCTAAGTGCAGCAATTACGAAATGCCTCAGTGATTATGGCGTGGATGACCTTGTGCAGAGGCTGGCAACACCACCGGAAAGTCGTACCGAGCCCACTAATAATAAAGTTGAGCGCACGTTGGCTCATTTTT